AAAATAATAACTGTGTTCTTGCAGAGCGCTCATGTCCGTCAGACTTCCCACTCCTGGCGCTCCGTAATTACTCCGACTTTAGCATAGCTGTCATCAGGCGCGGATCCAGGGGGGGGCGAGCGGGCCTTGCCCTCCCCCCCCCCCCCCGCAAAAAAAGGGAGAGAGAGAGAAGGAAAGAAGGGAAAGGGAAAGAGGAGAGAAAGGGAAAAAAGAAGAGGAAGAAGAAAAGAAAAGAGGGAAGAATTAAATCGGGGGGGGGGCAAACGGACTTGCCTCCCAGGCTGTTGGCCCCCCCCCCCCCCAATCAAAAAATAAAAGAGAAGGAAGGAAAGGGAAAGAAAAAAGGAAAAGAGGAGATACAAGAAAGGAAAAAAGAGGAAGAAGAAAAGAAAAAAAGGGGATAACGACACAACAAATCATCTTCTTTCTCTAATGATTTAATGAAACGTAAGCTTCCGCTTAGCGCGGGAGGGGGAAAACTCAATTCAGACGAGGATTATTTTTTGGGAACGGTACAACAAATCGTCTTCTTTCTCTAATAATTTATTGAAAAGTCAAAGCTTCCGCGTTTCGCGGAGGAGGGAGGGGGAAACTCGCCCCTCCCTGCACCCACCCACCCCCAATTACGTCACTGCTGGTCACCATTACGAACCAATATTTGGCTCGCATAATTTCAAATTTTGCCCCCCCCCCTAAGAAATCCTGGATCCGCGCCTGATGTATATACAACGGCAACAGTTTCAATATAAAATGTAAGTTCTTCTAACTTAAATCATTGGTCTGGAAACAATTATTTGCCCATTATTGTGTATTGTATTACATTTTCACTGACAATGAATTCACATTGTAATGCAATTTTCAAGTTTCCCAGGCTTATTTAGGAGAACAGAAGATTGATATTGTTTAGTTGTACGATAACATCACTCAGTTTGATTTGATTTGATTGGCGATATATCTCATTAAAAACAGAGTAAAGGCTATACAGTTTCAAACAAACCTACACCATTAAACTTCAAGCTCACTCACACATGATTTATTGCGACACTTTCAAGACTACTTATTATTTCAAGTTCATGTATATACAAAGGGCAACAGTTTCAATATTAAACGTAATTAAATCAATGGTCTGGAAAATGTTAATGCCCATTGTTGTATATTATACAACATTTTCCATAACGATGAATATACATTGTATAATGCAATTTTCAGGAAAACCATACTTGTCATTACTGTTATATTTTGTTATATGATACTAAAGCAAATCGTTTCGCTTATCGATAAGATAAATGAATGTGAAGTACGTGTCAAATAATGAAATCATTACGTGCTATTTTTAACCGGACTAGACATTTGAAACGTATAAAAAATGTATACACTATTGACAGCAAGCAAGTTTTTTAAACAAAGAATTCAGAAATTAAACAACATTGCACATTTTAGTCTACACGGCATGCCCTTAGTTGGACTGTAAACAGTTGTCTTCTTAAGTCTTCCATATAAATATAAATTTAAAGGAGGTCAATAATCATTATGAAAACACCACTTTCGTAAGGTTGACACATCAATATATATTGTGCACACATGTAACAATGTGATAATATTTTTTCTTGGGGGGGGGGACGGGAGGAGGGCAATCCAAAAAGGGACTGATATGTGAACATTAATATTGATAGGTCGCTTCACAGAAGGGGCATACATAGTCCTTTTTGTGGATAGTTTTTTGAGCAAAACACAAAATAGGTGGAAGGACGGGGTACACGTCTTCCTTCAATTTTTTGAGGGGGATCGTCCCCCATGGATAATTTGAAAAAGTGCACACCAACAAAATGTATAGCAAATACTGACTAAAGACTGCAACACGCTTTAAGGCTCTGGTGGGCCCAAGAGTACAGCGTTTAGACTAATAGAAATGCTAAAATCTTCTCGCTCGGTCGCTACGCTCCTTCGCATAATATCCTAAAAATATACAAGTAAAAATTAAAGAAAATATGTATTCTGTTGGTATCACGTATGTACAAATTACACTGTATGTTAACAAGATTAAAAGTTATAGAAATAGATCAGTGTTCCAAAAATGAATATTCAGCTTGCTCTTTTAAGAAGTCCCTTCCTGCTCAGTACTTACTAAAATTTACCTAGTAAATATTTACAACCCTTCGGACTGCACACTAGATATCGGCAAAGTAAAAGTGAAGCGTGAAAAAAGTATATTGCTTGATTTTATGCTGTAGTTTTGCTAAAGAATGTAATTTTGTAACACAACAAAACTTCAAAAACCTGTGAGGGGTTTACATATAAGACTTATCATACAGCTTTATGGGGGTAGTCCCTTCCGTCAGCTCCGCCTCTTTCACTGGCGTACTGATTGGGGGGGCAGTAACCCCCCCCCCCCCCCAATACAATTTAAACATGGGTTATTTTTAATTTGATACCAGTGATTTACAAGTATTGCTAAAATGGCAGTATTTTTCCATGAGCTCCCGGGTGCTCTACCCCCTGGAACCCACCAAGGGCCCTAAGGCGGGCCCTGTTTGCTCATCTGGCCGTAATTAAATGCCTAAAGTCCTTGAGCTTTCGGGGGCTCTGCCCTCTGGACTCAACCAAGGGGCCTAAGGCGGGTCCCTAGATGCGTGATTTGGTGCCTAAAAGCCCTTCCGTTATGTATTTCTTATGTATTTCTTTGTCTTTCTTTCTCCATATCCTCTGTACTCTCCTTATGTATTTTTTGTTTTCCCTTTTCTATTACCTTCTCTTTCCTGGGTATACGTGCTTGCACATGAACTATATATGGCTAAACAGTTTTGTAAAAAAAAAATATGCGCGAACGGTCAAGAAGTAAAAAGAAGGCAAAAAGAGAACAAAGACGGCATCCATGGAAGCCATGTGAGAGTGTCCACTTTTTTCGCTTTTACTTTCACCCTTGCATTCTTTCCTGAATCAGAGTTTTCTCACACCTTGTAGACTCGTGCAGGTTAAGATCTTGTGTGTGTGTGTGTGTGTGTGTGTGCGTGCGTGTGTGCATCTACCTCCCCATTAATGAAGGCTGCATGGAGGAGATTTCACGTGCTTTCAACTTGGGGATACTATTGAAAACGACAGGTTTAATGTGGAAGTTTGGAAAGGAAAAATAGAAGAAGAAGAAAGAGAGAGGAAAGAGATAGGAGAGAAGAGGAGGAAAGGAGAAGGGAAAGGAGGGAGGGGAAAAGAATGGAAAAATAATTAGATAAAATGGGGAACGAGGAAAAGAAAAGTACAAACTATAAAGTATTGTGAACTATACATTGGCCAATGTGAAATCTATGGGTCAAACTAGCCTGTCAGGTATATGAGAGGGATCTTTGTTTAATGTATATAAATATATACGCCTACATATTTTGTTTGTTTGTTTAGTTTTAAAGAAATGATACAAAAATTGAGAAGATTATCGTACTTTTATCAAGAGTTAATATCACACACATTTTTTTTTTCCTTATAATTTATGGTATATAATCGTAGTGTATATTAAATATAAAGTGAAGCCCCGGGTTTCTCATCGTTGTTGGGTATGTGGAAGGCGAGGTTTGATTTTTGTTCAACTTCGTCTCCATAATGCCTTACATGTTGAATATCGGAGATGAAGTGACAACTTTGAGTTTTTTTTTTTAAATAAAAGATTCTTCAGGCTGATGGTTTGTTTGGCAGGGCTTGTTTATTATTGCTCTGTCAGCGATCTATTGGTATGGAAGAGATGAATTTATTTTCATCCCCATCTACATCCCCATTAATGAAGGCTGCATGGAGGAGATTTCACGTGCTTTCAACTTGGGGATACTATTGAAAACGACAGGTTTAATGTGGAAGTTTGGAAAGGAAAAATAGAAGAGAAATGATAAGAGGGAGAAAGGGGAAAAGAAGGAAGAGGGGGAAAGGATAGGAGAAGGGAGGGAAAGAGAAGGAATAAGCGAGGGAAAGAGAAGGAATAAGCGAGGAAATAATTAAATGAAGGGGGAAGGAAGAAAAGGAAAGTACTAGTTATAAAGTATTGTTTATGTTTACTACACACTAGCCAATGTGAATTTTTTGGGCTAAACTAGCCTGTCACGTATATGACAATGGTGTTTTTTTTTTTTTTTTTTTTTTTTTTGTTAATTATTGTTCAAAAAGAGGAAGAAAAGGATGTATTTACATATATACATATTCTGTTCGTTTCTTTAGTTTTAAAAAAATGATACAAAACTTGAGAAGATTATCGTACGTTTACCAAGAATTAATATCACACACATTTTTTTTTTTCTTTCTTCAGTGTATATGAAATATAAAGCGAAGCCTCGGGTTTCTCATCGTTGTTGGGTATGTGGAAGGCGAGGTTTGATTTGTGTGCAACTTCGTCTCCATAATGCCTTAAATGTTGAATATCGGAGATGAAGTGACAACATTGAGAAAAAAGGGGGATTTTTCAGGCATTTTTTATTTTTATTTTTTTTTGCCTGAGGTTGTTCATTAATTGTTCTAACCAAAGCAATAATAATATTTTAATAAGATTGTCGCGCCAAGGGCTGTTGGTTTCAGTTCCCTTTTCTAAGCTTTGCCACTTGTGGAATAAAGGGGTTAAGTATGTGTAGGAGTGAGGTTTCCAAAATATTTCAATGGTACCAGGTGGTGTTGTTTATTGAGGGGGCTAAAATGCTTGGGGACCGGTCCGGATACATTCCCTGGTGCTATTTCGAATTGGCAGTAGTGTTTCATCATTTGTTTATCATTTTGTGACGCATGATATGCAAATTATATCACTCGGTATTTAAAAAAAAAGAAAACAAAAAGAATTGTAGCAGGATTTGTATTACAACCCTAAGCATGCATGCGTGAAGTGCGAAGAAACATTTCCCTCAAAACATGCTTAAACAGTATATTGACTATTTCATTATTTTATAACGCAAATCTATGTAAATTCAGATAGAGGGGTAAATGTATAGATGGTCTGTTGGGATCTGTTCTCTTTCACGATTTTTAAGTACTTTGTTGTAACGCCTATTTATGCAAAACATAATATCTGGGTAACACGGCTCTTGGTATTACAATGAGCTTTATTGCAAGGTACTTTCCATAAACCTTGCTGGTCTGTTGGGGATCTGTTCTCTTTCACAATATTTAAGTACTTTGTTGTAACGCCTATATATGCAAAACGTAATATTTGGGTAACACGGCTCTTGGTATTATAATGAGCTTTATTGCAAGGTACTTTCCATAAACCTTGCTGGTCTGTTGGGGATTTGTTCTCTTTCACGATATTCAAGTACTTTGTGGTAACGCCTATTTATGCAAAACATAATATCTGGGTAACACGGCTCTTGGTATTACAATGAGCTTTATTGCAAGGTACTTTCCATAAACTCTTTTGAACGTCCGCTTTCTTTCACGATGTATATAGCAACGCCTTTATACAATGCCATAGTATCTGGGTAACGACGGCTTTTTTTTATATTACAATGAGCTTTATTTCGATAACGCATTCTATGTAAATTCACATATCTTAGTAAATGACTGATACATATTTAAAAAAATTTCTGTAAAGTGAAAACAATTCGAGTATCTGGATAATGGTCCGATCTGTTCACCCAGCCAAAACTATTTTTTTTAAAGCCAGGTGGTGGTGTGATGTTTTGATAGGGAGGAACGTGTTGGGATCCGGTATGCATGCTTGCCTATCATTATGTCGGGCTGACGTTTGGTGTTCTTTCGAGTTGTCGGGAACGCCCTTTAGGAGTTTTTTTTTTACGGAATGCATACAAAATGATCAGGTGCGTGAAGTCGGTCTATTCATTCATGGGTGAGGCATATTATGCAAATTATAGAACTTGGTAAATGATAGCATGATGGGTTCGGTTTGCACGAACAGTTTATTAGGTTGCCGAACTGGTGTCGTTTGGGGAATTTGGTTTATTGGGATCGTGTTTTTTATTTTTAATTAGAAGGTGCGTATTGTGATTAGGTACGCGGGCCGGGCAATTCACTGTAATGCATTTTAGGAAAATCATTTAACTTAGTTATGACGAGTGGGTTCCGTAATACAATTCAAGGCATTTGTTAAGGGATAAAAGCTCTTTGTATTTTGTATTTTTTTTTTTAAATTAGATTACGGTTATATAACAATACAACGTATTTCTCATCGACTTGTGCAAGAAGAAATGTTCATTGGTTTATTCTGTCATTGGTCTAGTTAAATTGACAGGGAAAGGGGGAGGCTCTTGATCTCGGATGTTTACGTACACCGAAGAGCAGATTTGGGTTGTTTTGTGTGGGGGTGTTGTGTGTGTAGTGAATATGCTTGTGTGTATGAATGCGTTGGGTTGTGTGGTACGGGGTGGATTCTGCTTGCATTTTTTTTATATAATTCGACGATAAGTATGCATGTATGTTTGGCTGCAGATAGTTTTTTTCTATACATTTGCTCACGGTGGAAATAGATTATGTGGAAGTTTCTTTGGAGTTTATCGATGTAAGGTTTTGGATACAATTACACATAACATAACATGGCAGTGAAATTATCTTTCATGACATTAAATGTTAGAGGAATAAGAGATAGGTTAAAAAGAGTGAATATTTTTGAATGGTGCAAAACTAAAAAGAATAGTACAATTTTCTTACAAGAAACATATAGTACAGTAGAGATAGAAGAGCGGTGGAAACAAGATTGGAGAGGGCCAATGTTTTTTAGTCATGGGTCAAACCATAGTAGAGGGGTTCTTATTTTATTTTCTAATCATTTAGATTTTGAAGAAAAAAATTAAAGTAGATGAAGAGGGGAGATACATTATTTTTAAAGGTGAAATACAAAGGGTTAAAATGCTATTGGTTAATGTTTATTTTCCAACGAGAGATAAAGAAACTTTACAAATTGAATTTTTGAAGAAGTTAGATAAAAGTATTTTTGATCAGTGTGATCGGGACTATTTAGTTTTATTAGGAGGTGATTTCAATAGTATATTGGATGGAAAATTAGATTATGTGGGGTCAAAAACACCGGTGAAATCTCGGGTTATTGATTTGATTAAGGAATTTTTAAATAAATACGATTTAGAAGATATATGGAGGAAAAAAAATCCGAATGTAAAGCAATTTACTTTTCGACAAAATTGGCCGGTGGTGCAAAGCCGTTTAGATTATTGGTTTATACCTTGTAGTGTTGAAAAATTGGTGGGTACGTGTGAGATTTTGACATCTATTACGCCAGATCATTCTGGCGTTAGGCTAGAATTTAATGATCTGGTTGATAAGTTTTTTTTGGGGAAATCATATTGGAAATTTAACAGTAGTTTATGTATGGCTAAAGATTTTGTTGAAGAGATGAATAAGGAAATACAGGAATTAAAAGCTGAATGGTCATTACAGATTTTGAATAAATTAGTATTTTGGGATTTTTTAAAGATGAAAATGAGAGAATTTATTATAACATACTCGCGGAAAAAGGCAAAAGCAAGGAGGGTTGAAATAGAACTGTTAGAGAAACAAATCAAGGATTTAGAAGGCGAACTAGTAGTGGGACCCACTAAATATATTGTTGATTGTATTGAGGAGAAAAGGGATAAACTAAATAAATTGTATGATTTTTCTCGACAGGGCATTAAAATAAGATCAAGAGCACCTTGGTTTGAAGATGGAGAAAACAATACGCAATAATTTGAACAGTTGTTAAAATCGAATAAAAGGAAAAGTGTAATTAGGGAGGTGTACAAAGAAAATGGGGAAACTACTAGAGATAAGGAGGAAATTTTAAAGGAAATTAAACTATTTTATAAAGATTTATATTCTTTAAGGGCTGATATAAATCAAAACGACCCTTTCTTTTTTAATGATATTTCAAAGTTAAATGAAGACAATAGGGAAATCTGTGAAGGTAAATTAACTAAAGATGAATGCTTGAAAGTTTTAAAAGAAATGAAATTGAATAAAACCCCGGGAAATGATGGGTTAACAGTTGAATTTTATTATACTTTTTGGCCAGCTTTGGGTGATTTGTTAGTAGAAGTATTGAATAAAACATACGAAAGGGGGAACTAACAGCATCTCAAAAACAAGGGGTAATTACCTTAATTGAGAAGGAAGCGAAAGATACTCTCCATATAAAAAATTATCGACCCATCACGCTTTTGAATGTAGATTATAAAATTGTATCTAAAGTTCTAGCAAAAAGAATGAAAGAGGTTTTAAATGAAATAATTCATCATGATCAAGTTGGATATATAAAAGATAGAAATATTGGGGAAGCTGTACGATTGATAGATGACATGTTATATTTATTCTATGCATTATGGGGAACAAGGGAAAGGGTTTTTGTGTGCAGTGGATTTTGAGAAAGCTTTCGACTCTGTATCTCATAGATATTTATTTCAAATATTGAAATTGTTCGGTTTTGGAGATTCATTTTGCTCTTGGGTAAAATTATTGTATAAAGGGATAAGTAGTTGTGTTATGAACGGTGGTCACTCCACGGGGTATTTTGAAATAGAAAGGGGAGTAAGGCAAGGGGATCCATTATCGCCATATTTGTTTTTGGTTGCCATCGAAATTTTGGCGCATGCAGTAAGGAGGGACAACGGTATTAAAGGGATTACATTTGGAAAATCTGAAATTAGGCAAGTGTTATACGCAGATGATATGACAATATTTTTGAAGGATATTGATTCGGTTAGAAGGTTGCAATATATTTTTGAATCATTTGAACAAATTAGTGGTCTTAAAGTGAATAAAACAAAGACACATTTTATGTGGATGGGTGAGGATGAGAACAAACCTGATGGGCCTTTATTTGGAAATTTGGTTAAGGAAATACATATTTTAGGGGTTAGTTATTCATTAGATCGAAGATTAAAAGATGATTTGAATTATAAAGAAATTCTAAGTAAAATATAAAAAAAATTGCTTGTATGGTGGAAACAAAGAGATTTAACTATTATGGGTAAAATACATTTGCTAAAAACTTATGCGCTTTCAAAATTAAATTATATTTCATCTCTCGTTATTGTCCCTCATTGGGTATATAAAGAAGTTGCAAAAATTTAATTTGAATTCATATGGAGGGGGAAAGATAGAATTAAACGGGCAATAATGTATCAGGATTATGACTTTGGAGGATTAAGAATGATTAATTTTGAAATGTCCGTTAAAATACAGCGCATAATGTGGATAAAACGTCTTTTATATGGAGAGAAAAGTTTGGGATGGAAATTGTTTTTTGATCATTGCTTACAGTTTGTGGGTGGTAGATTTATTTTTTTATGTGATTATGATTTAAACAAGATTAAACTCGTTTTAGATATTCCACCATACTATATGGAAATGTTGCAAGCATGGCAAGAGACAAGTAATTTAAGATATTTGGATGGTTATATTAATCCAATTATTTGTAATAATCAGAATATATGTATAAATGGAAAAAGTATATTTGATAGATACTTGTTTGAAAGAAGGATTGTTCAACTGAATCATTTGGTTGAGAAAGGTCATGTTAAGCCTGTTAAATATTTTATGAACCTCGGTATGAAAGGTAATAATTTGCTTATGATTATTGATATTTATGATGCGATACCCAGGTTATGGAAGGATGATTCAGGGTTAATAGAATTCCTCGAGGTTGATTTGATAAGCTTTAATACTTATTTCCATATTTCTAGTAAAAAAATACAGTTTGTGGATGTGGGTTCAAGAACAATCTATGATTTTGTTATCAAAGCACTGCAACGAACGTATGATTTGCAGGTAAGGGATGGGCAAAATGATTATGATTTTATAGATAAAGAATTAAAAGAAATATTTGTTAGACCAAGAATTACTATACTCATTAGAAAACAACGTGAATTTCAATTTAAATTATTGCATGGAGCCATATACACTAATGAGCATCTTCATAGATTTGGTTTTGTTGGTGATAATTTATGTTCGTTTTGTAAGCAGGAAATAGAAACATACAAACATTTATTTTTATCTTGTGGGAGCGTTCAAAGGTTATGGCAGGCTTTGATACAACTTTTTGAGTTAGATGAAATTAAAGATTTAGAATGGCGAGATATATTTGTTGGGTTGGTAGGTTGTTCATATAGAATAAAAATGTGTAATACTATCATTTTCATGGTGAAGTATGTTACATTTATGTCAAGATTGGGGGGGGGGCGATTACTAACTTTAGAAAAGATGAAAAAAAGCATTTTTAAGTATAGGGATGAGGAAAAGAAAATAGCAATTAAAATTGGAAAGCTAGGATCACATTTCTTAAAGTGGGAGCAGCTTAAGATTAATTAAGATTTGCTTTCTTCTCCACCGTGAGCCTGTTAAAAGCGTAACTCGATTTTGCGGCCTGTATAACTTATTTAGTGGCCTGGATAACTTATTAAGTATATTTTTCTTGAGTTGAGAATGTTGGCAGACATCCACTGAGTGAGTACTGTGTGTGTGTGTGGGGGGGGGGGTGGGTGGGTGGGTGGGTGAGTATGTGTGTGAGTGGGTGAGTATGTTTGTGTGATAGAGGGTGAGTATGTCTGTGTGATGGAGGGGGCAGGGAGGGGGC